CCTACCCTTACTAATATACATGTATAATGTTCTATTTTCTGTGGCTATGTGTGTCTCAAATAGCTTGTTCTTACTAACATACAATGTTCTATATATTGTGACTATGTGTGACTTTAATAGGCATTACTTGTATATAATTTGTTTCATATTTTAAATTTCGTTTGCTGTGTCAATTTGTGACTCTCATAGGTTACCAAGCACATAAATTTTAAAGTTTTATTTACTGTGGTCATGTGGGACTTAAACAGACTACCCTTACCCATATTTCAAGTTTATATACTGTGCCCATTATGACTGTAACAGTATAGTATAGTCATGAATTAACTAAACAAAATACCCATTGGGTATTAAAAAGTCCAATTTATAAAAATAACGTTTTAAGCCCCCGATGATATTTACAGGGAAGAAAATTGTTTTGGCAATTTAGTGGTCATTAGCCTCGACGTGACCAATGGAAATTAGTCGCTCCCATCTTGTTGCCCAAAAAAATATCCGAATGAACCTTACATAATTGTGGTATCACACAACAGTTTGTGTTCACTTCTGAACATAATGACCTCTACACCGAACAGTATATCATCTGAACTGAACATAATGATAGTACCAAAAAACCACTGAACATAACGACCTTTGCACCGAACGACACATTGACTTGACTGAAGAAGATATAATCAGCACACAAGAAATGATAGTACCATTTAACAGTTCTATTTCACGACTGAACAGAATGAATAATCACCAAACAGTATACAAATAATGTATAAATAACACTTGGGTTTGTGGGTAACAGTAAAAATATAATCCCGAGGAAAATACTGTTACCCGAGGTGTACTTTAGGTCTACTTGAGAAGTTTTCTTTTTCTTTTATTCTTTAAGCAAGTGATGATATCTACAAATCATAAACATACAATAAGCTAGGTTTTATTTAGAAAACAAAACACTAACCCATTTACACGGTTATGATCTGTGAAATCTGATCCTTCTGTTTAAGCATGGTTTTCGACAAAATAACGATGATATCCTATGTCTGTCCACCATACTGATTAATCCTTTGTTGCATGCTTAAATCGTCTGCATGTTCCAGTTTGACGCGTAATTATTTACATTGCAATTACTTCCGTTGAAAACGGATGTTCACTTTTTGACTATTCAACAAAAAGATATTTTATACGCGAAAAGCACACCAGGGTGCAAACAACTAAATTTTATGAGTGTCATTGTTACTCCAGAGCAGAAATTGATGTCCTATCGGGGTTTAACGTCGAAAATAAGAATGAATCGAGAAAAAATGGCGGCCATTTTATTTCATTTTATTTAGAAAATAGACCACGTGACCAGATTTTATACATAGGCACTTGGTTTCGGGATAAAATAACCCTTTAAGAGGTTTGTAGAATTCAAATATAATTGAATGTTACATTTTTTTTAACGAAGATGTCTCTTTTCTAAAACCGTCATTTTTCCGATATTACTAAAAACACATCTAAGTTAAAAAAATCGTTACATTCAAACAAATTTGAGTTCTACAAACCCTTAAAAGGCTTTTTATCCCGAAACCAAGTGCCTATGATTTTATACTGTTAAAAAATACTGTTACCTATGTAACAGTACAAAATTCTTAGTCACGTGGTACACTTGTATTTACAGTAAAAATAACTCCCAGAGACCTATGGGAAATTAGCATTACGAAAAAAGTGAGGGGCAATAATACAAAATTCTTAGTCACGTGGTACACTTGCATTAACAGTAAAAATAACTCCCAGAGGCCTATGGGAAATTAGCATTACGAAAAAAGTGAGGGGTAATAACATGTCATAACAACTGAAAATAATGAAAGTATCACCAAATAATACACTGCCTCAACCAAACAAAATGATAGTACCACTCAACTGTTCATTTTCATGGTTGAACATAATGAGAAGAGCACCAAACAGCATATTATTATAACCGAACATGATAACTGTAACACCCTACAACATATCTTTTTAACTCAACATAATTGTGTTACCACATGCCTGTTTGTTTAAGAACTGAACATAACGACTTATGCACCCGACAATACACTGACTTGGCTGAATAAAATACAGTCAGCACACAACATAACACTTCAATAACTGAGCACATTAGGATTTCCATCCAGCATATTGTATCTCGGACTAATAACCAGGTATATCATTCATTCTTAACATACGACAGTCCAGGCTTTCCATAGTTTTTTACCCAAAGGCTGAGATTTAAACCCAAAATACGTGTAGACTGGTTATCTAGACACTGGTTCAGACAGCATGTTAACTTGTTAAAGTATCATAATGAGTTGTGTGTGTACGGCACCGTGGTGTGAATATAATATGGTTATTTTGGTTTTGTTGCATGTCAATTTGTCCTGGTATGCATGTATAAGACAAATAAAATATAAAGATCTATTTATAGAATAACGTATTTAAGATATATGTATTTACATTGATTAATGCATGAGTGCGACTGTTTGAAAAGGTATGAATCATGATGGAAATCTACAGGTAAATATAAGGGGGTGACTTAGTGCGTCAAATATGGTATTTTGTTTGTTTGGTTTGGTTTTACGGCGCAACAGGAAAAATGATTTTGGCTAACCTTGGGTGTTACTTCTTAATGCAACACAATTGGTCAAAAACACCTCACCTTCTGGAGCTAAGAAGTGCATAGACTACAGTTATTCTAACTCATTTAGTCGCCTGTTACGATCACACAAGGTTAAACAGTGGATGCAATTATGATGCATCAGCCGGAAAAAGCCAACCGCTCACACAATGGGCTATCTAGATAGTAAGGTATAAAACTTTGCAAATATTTGTTTAAATATGTAAAATGACTCTAACACAAGAGCCGGTTGAACCGGGTGATGAATTAGAAAACCCAAGATATACGTGCTGTTTATAAGTGTCGCTTGGTAATCTCTGGCAAGATGAATTAGAAAACCCAACATATACGTGCTGTTTAAAAGTGTCGCTTGGTAATCTCTGGCAAGATGAATTAGAAAACCCAACATATACGTGCTGTTTATAAGTGTCGTTCGGTAATCCCTTCCTAGAAGAATTAGAAAACCCAAGATATACGTGCTGTTTACAAGCGTCGTTCGGTAATGCCTTGCTAGAAGAATTAGAAAACCCAAGATATACGTGCTGTTTATAAGTGTCGTTCGGTAATCCCTTACTAGAAGAATTAGAAAACCCAAGATATACGTGCTGTTTATAAGTGTCGTTTGGTAATCCCTTACTTGAAGAATTAGAAAACCCATGATATACGTGCTGTTTATAAGTGTCGTTTGGTAATCTCTGGCAAGATGAATTAGAAAACCCAAGATATACGTGCTGTTTACAAGTGTCGTTCGGTAATCTCTGGCAAGATGAATTAGAAAATCCAAGATATACGTGCTGTTTATAAGTGTCGTTTGGTAATCCCTTACTAGAAGAATTAGAAAACCCAAGATACACGTGCTGTTTACAAGTAGAAAACCCAAGATATACGTGCTGTTTATCAGTGTCGTTCGGTAATCTCTGGCAAGATGAATTAGAAAACCAAAGATATACGTGCTGTTTATAAGTGTCGTTTGGTAATCCCTTACTAGAAGAATTAGAAAACCCAAGATATACGTGCTGTTTATAAGTGTCGTTTGGTAATCCCTTACTAGAAGAATTAGAACCCCATGATATACGTGCTGTTTATAAGTGTCGTTTGGTAATCTCTGGCAAGATGAATTAGAAAACCCAAGATATACGTGCTGTTTACAAGTGTCGTTCGGTAATCTCTGGCAAGATGAATTAGAAAACCCAAGATATACGTGCTGTTTATAAGTGTCGTTTAGTAATCCCTTACTAGAAGAAATAGAACCCCATGATATACGTGCTGTTTATAAGTGTCGCTTGGTAATCTCTGGCAAGATGAATTAGAAAACCCAAGATATACGTCCTGTTTATAAGTGTCATTCGGTAATCTCTGGCAAGATGAATTAGAAAACCAAAGATATACGTCCTGTTTATAAGTGTCATTCGGTAATCTCTGGCAAGATGAATTAGAAAACCCAAGATATACGTGCTGTTTATAAGTGTCGTTTGGTAATCCCTTACTAGAAAAATTAGAAAACCCAAGATATACGTGCTGTTTATAAGTGTCGTTTCGTAATCTCTGACAAGATGAATTTGAAAACCCAAGATATACGTGCTGTTTATAAGTGTCGTTTGGTAATCCCTTACTAGAAGCATTTGAAAACCCAAGATATACGTGCTGTTTATAAGTATCGTTTGATAATCTCTGACAAGATGAATTAGAAAACCCAAGATATACGTGCTGTTTATAAGTGTCGTTTCGTAATCTCTGGTAAGATGAATTAGAAAACCCAAGATATACGTGATGTTATAAGTGTCGTTTGGTAATCCCTTACCAGAAGAATTAGAAAGCCCACGATATACCTGCACGATATACCTCCAAGTGTCTTTTGGAAACCGCTGGCAAGCGTGAGTTAGAAGAATTTCAGTTACAATCTTCAGTGATCACCTGATAATTCCTAGCAACGCTGACAATTTGTTAGTAGTGCCACGGGGTTATCTATGAAAACGAAAGAAGAAGTTAGTAGAATTTGACATTAAGATTGGATGCCAATTTAAACAATGTTTTTCAACGTTTGATTAATTCTGTTTTATGTTTATGGTACTGGGTTGTTCGTTGCTTATATCATCAAAATATAATAGCTATTCTTCCCATGTCAAATCGTTTTAAATTATTCGAACATGTACCTGTATGTGTACCTTAAACTAAATATTCGGACTTTCCCTAGATAAAAAAGACAATGTAAATATGTAAAACAACGTCAAACACTTACAGTCCAAACAAAACGTTTTTAATGAAAAGAAAAAAAAAACATGATAACTTTCTTATTTATAAATCATGTTCTTTCACGTGACACATTTAAACTACCTCTTAAAACCTGATTTTAGCTTTTATTATTGATACTTTATTTACATACGTCGTATAGCGTTGATCGGACTTGCTCATTGGCAGTCAGGCATGACTATTAAGGTGTGCAACTTTCTTTAAAGTAGTTCGAATACAGTCTTCTTTAGGGCGTGTGTTTTTAAAAGTGCTTAAGGAAAAGTTTCGTCGGAATTAAATGAGAAAAGTCTAACAATGGGGAAGGTAAGGAATTTTTATCTTCTTTTTCCCTTTTCCGCCGATAATTTGTAAGTAAAAATGTATAAATACATTTAACGAATATGTTTATTGCTGGCTATTTACAAATCACTAGGAAAAGAAGACCAAACAAACGAAATCATCGTTTGAAAACATTGATTTATTTTTTAAAATGTTTATGGTATGATAATAGTTAATTTTATTAAATTGTTTTGGACTAATGTTGTAAACTTAGATCTTTCTCAATGCCATATATTAAATAAATATAAATGAAATTTAACATGCTAGAATGAACTAGTTTTATATGTTTACAAAAGAAGAGCACACCAGCAATAAATTAAGTTTTACACACATTGTGATATAAATGGCCGCTTGTGTTACCTCCGGGGAAAACAATGTCAATGACATACACGTATATATACAAACAAGCGTCTGATGTCGCATAAATTACAAGTCACTGTCATATGTTATAAAGTTAATTAACCTGCTAACAACACCACAGAACAGAACAGACACTTTATTTCTGACTTGTACAATTATACATCGTCATACAAATATAAACAATTTTACTATTCATATAAACGTACACACACTTGACTAGGCAAGTAACACATTTTCTTCGTAACAAGCTTTATTTATTTATTTATTTATTTATTTATTTAAATATGTTAATATTAGAACATAGTCTCATTCAAGTTTTTTTTACAAATATACGTCTCAAAATGTAATTTTTTCGGGTTTTTTTTCTTCAAAATTTCAATGAATCATAGTGAATTGGCTAAAGAGTCTTCAGCGAACAGGTTTTATCGAAAGTCAACCAGAACCGTGACATATTTATGTCATGCTGTAATTCAATAAATTTGCGTGATCTGGACAAAAGCTATTTTAATAAAGGTAGTTAGATATATCTGGGACACTTCAGTCTATATTTTTGAACACAGAACGTTAGATTGATGAAATAATGCCCAAATGTTTATCAGTGGGTTCACATTTCATAAAATTCCCCGCCATTGCTGCTCTGATAATCACGTGACTAGCGAGAATTTAGGTTCGGATACCTTTGCATGACCCGTGACCCAAATGCTATTTTTAATTGAAAACATGGCTTTGCAATCATGTTTAACAGTGTATTTATTCAATAACAGACATTGTACCAAAAACATTTTGAATTTATATTGTTTTGAGTGATGTTTCATGAATTATTTCAGATTTCATTTGAAAGCAGACTCCATATTGGTACACATTCTCTACATATTTCCCTAACAAATAGTTGGGTACACAATGTCTTTGAAGTTTCATTTAAAAACAAAACATAAATTCATTCAAAATTGATCAGTTTATCAGATGGTATTTTTATTTGACCCAAATTTGATTAATAAGGGTGATTTTAATAGGTTTTTATGTACGGCACACGAACTGCCAAAATTCTGGTAGCCTTTGCAAATAGGGTTGACCATAACTTTACTGTCGCACAACGTCAAAATAAAAGCGACATATAAAGTTATTGAAGTTATGAATAGTGAATGAATTAAGGTGTCCACTCTTAAAAGAGCTTCGCCTGAACCATAACATTTAAAAAATCTATTGAAAATCGATATTTGGTACGATTAATATAAAGCGTTAAAACGCCTTACAATTTAATTCATTTTGCACAATAAAAGAATATTCTGGAAAAGGAATGATCGAATGATCTGCAATTTTGCATTCGAGTTATCGGCAATAAGTATAAACATTTTTTCAGTCCCGTCATGTCAAAAAACTTCAGTGGAGCGAGGACAGTAATACGTCAGATATGTTACAGGTTTTACATATAATATTCACGTGAAATTAACGCTTTACTGGTTAAATTATATTGTCAAGTTAATAAAAGGTAATTATTCTAATAGTAAATGTGTTCCTATGGAAACACTTAAATCGTTTAAGGTAGTGATTTGAATGAGGTAGATATTTGAATGAAGCGATAAAGTGAATGCCTTTAAGGTAAAATAAATGAAGTCATAAAACCCTTCAAGCTTATGAGCATAAAGTATAGGTTAAAAATTATAAGTACGTATTTACAAAGGCGCGACACAGCCGCGGGGCATATTTAATTTTGTAAATACGTACTAACAAATTTTAACCAGCTTAGTGTTTTAAATTAGTTTTATAAACAGTCGATTTACTAGACTGATTTACAGTTTGCTGATTTACCAATGTAAATGTGTTACGATTCATGTAAAATACTGCAATCCTATTGGACAAAAAATAATTTCAACCACTAAATAGGATTTAGCAATAAGCCACAGAATGTTAACAGTCATGAAGACGATGAAGTTGATGGAAGTATGAAGATAATTGATCCTATTCAAATAGGCTACGGACATCTGATCATTCAGGAGGCTAAGTAAAAAAACAATTGCTAAAACTTTAAAATTGTACATTCTTTAGCAAAATGAAATACATTATTTTTATTTCTTCGATAGAGAACAAGTTATTTGAGAGTAAAAGTAGTAATTTAAGTAAGATATAAGCCTCAATCTATCCAATAATTAAAATATTGAATTCACTTTGGCGCTAGGCGCCGCATAAATTCAATACGTACTACTTATAAATAAACATAACACTTTAATCTCATTTTACGTGTTTTTTTTGTGTTTTTTTTTTGTTTTTGTTTTTTTGTGTTTGTCTTTTGTGTGTTTTTTTTGTTGTTGTTTTGTTGTTGGTGGTGGCTTTTTGTTGTTGTTGTTGTTTTGTGGGGGTGTCATATTTATAGATAATAGTTGCAGCAGTTTATTTCATAGTTCGATGTACAGTGTATATTTACATATACATGTAAACCAGTACATTTTCTTCTAGATGCAATTATTTTCTTTCAACATATACACGTTTAATAGCTGTTAAATATAAGAATTTATATATTTATTATAAAGAACCGTCTGCTCCAGTGATTATTTTGTAAAGGTCTTTTTAACAAGATCCGATTTGTGCGGTGAAAATTCTATGCTAGAAACGATTCGCTATGTAAAATTATTGAATGTTTAATCTCTTCGGTAAAAACGTCCGTATTTACTTTTTAAACTAGAGAAATATCGTGAAAGCAATATAGTTTACGTTAAACTCCGTTTACCTCATAAGATCTCCCCCTGTAATGAGATTATGGAAAAGAAATCGCGAAATATTTCACATGAAAGAAAATCTTATTGAACAATTATTCAAACCATTTCATGAAAATAAGTTTCATGAATATAAATAGATAATAATATTATTCCACGACCCCATTACATTTGCGACGGCTCATTCATATTATGAGCATTTTGTTTTTTAACTGTGCTCCATGACCTATTCTTTGTGTTTGGCCAATAGGGAGGCTGGGACACATTTTACTTTATTTACTTTACGGTAGAGTAATCACACAAAATGTGTTTCGTCGTCGGATAAAATTTGGTTAAAGTTCCAGCATCGTCATTTAGGCTGTTTTAATGAGTGTAAATGTGATAGGCAGTTGGTACCAGATGGTAGTTGGTAATTCATTCCACTATCTTCTTAAACAGAGAATTAAGGAGATGACCAAGTTGACTACTAGACGGTAGTTGGTATTCGGATATTCATCATCATTAACTTCACCATCATCAATCATATCATCATCATCATTACCATTATCATCATTCATTATTATTATTATTATTATTATTATTGTTATTTATTATTATTATTATAATTATTAATTATTATTATTATTATTATTATTATTATTATTATTATTATTATTATTATTATTATTATGGAACTTTACAGGAGTTATCAGTACCATACCTAGTTGTGTAAGACTGTAAGTTGTGTATATCGTAGTCACGTTCCGCTTCGCTACAAAAAATGGCCGCCAGAGCTAAAAACTTAAAAAAAATCTTGTACGGCTTTCACAAGTCAAACTGTTAGTGGGATTTCAACATTACTTCACAGGAGTGATAAGTACAAACCCAAGTTCAGCACGTTTTTGTTCGCTGCATAAAATGGCGCCACAGCTATTTATAGAAAAATCTTGTCCGGCTTTCACTGGTTAAACTGCTGGCAGAATTTCAATGAAACTTCACAGGAGTGATCAGTATCATACCTAGTTATGCATATCACGGACATGATCTGCTTTATTGCACAAAATGTCCGGCTTTCACAGGCCAAACGTCTGGCGAGATTTTCGACAAAACTTTAAACTTATTATGGGGGTATATTGCTTTGCATTTGTCTGTCGGTCGGTCCGTAGACCAAATGGTTTCCGATCAATAACTAAAGAACGCTTAAGCCTAGGAACTTCAAATTTCAAGGGGTCAAAAGTCAAGGTCATATTGACCTTGTAGGTCAATAAAAATAAAATAAAATAAAAACGGTTTCCGATCAATAACCTATAGACTGTTGGCCCTTAAACACCGGAGGTGCATTGGTCTTGGCAAGTAGATGACCCCTATTGATTTTGGTCAACTGATCAAAGGCAAAGGTCATATTGACCTTGTAGGTAAAATGGTTTCGGATCAATAACTTGATAACCCATGGCCCTTGGCCCTCATATTGTATAGGTGCATTGGTCTTGGCCAATATATGACCCCTATTGATTCTGGGCTCAAGGGATCAAAGATCAAGGTCGTATTGACTTTGTAAGTATAAAAGTTGCCTTGCTTGATATTTTTCATAAAACTAAAATAGAAAAAATGATTTCCGGACAATTACTAGAGTTAGCAATGAGATATTATAGTCAAACGTGGTACATAGCAAGCTTTTATGAAGAGGCAGGTTGGGATTGCTTTTAGACCCCCCTCGGTCAAGGTCGAGGTCACTGTTACTTTAAATGGTAAAATGCTTTTCGGACAATAACTAGATGTAGGAGTGAGTTATTGTAATCAAACGTGGTAAATAGCAACCTTATATAGAATTGCATTTGGACCCCCCCCCCCCCCATAGGACAATGTTAAGGTCACTGTTCTTTAAAAAATCTGGACATTTACTAGAGTTATTATAAGTTATTATAGTTATTATAG